GCCCAGGCCCAGGCCCAGGCCCAGACCCAGACCCGGCCCCAGCTCTCTCCCAGAAGCCTCTGGGCAGGCCGCCTGTGAAATGGCCATTTTGCTGGCAGATTCCTTGGGGTGAAAGTTCTCGTCCAGTAGAGTACTAAATCCCTGGGTGCGCGCCACACACACCCTGGTCCAAAATCAGTTACATCACCTGAAGGGCCCGTGTTGAAATGAAAAGGTGGAGGTGGTAACTTGTTTTAAAACTAAGAACTTCAAGACAGCCGCTGGCAGTCCCCCACCCCCACCCCACCCCCCAGTGGGTCCCCACGGAGGGAGGATGGCTCGGAGGTCCCTGGCTGTCACCTTTGACAGAAGTCGATCGCCAGGCCTCTCCTCCATGGCATCACCAGATGGGTTCACCCAGGCTCTGCCCCACTGGGTCCCATCTCTCCAACAGCCTGATTCTGCCGGCAGGGTGGGTCTGGGAATCTGTGTCAGGAATCCTGGCAGAGGGGACCCCCCCCACCTCCACACACACACACCCAGGCCAAGCCAGCTACGGGTTGTCCTTAGGAGTGGAACTAAGGATGGTCTCCGTTTGGGAGCTTCCAGGGACCCCTGAGCCCTGAGGCCCCCACTGTGACACACCCCTGTTCTCTCTTCGTGGGCCCCAGAGGACAGGGAGAAAGGGACCCAGCGGTGGGAATCCCCGGTGGTGCGGTGGGTTTCGGCTGGGAGCTCGGCTGCCCTGCTGTGACTCAGGAGCATACAGGTCACTGGAAAGGCACTTACATGATTCAAAGTTTCCATGGAGCTAAATAAAACAATGAAAACCATCTGTCGGAGCAGTAAACAGCTGCCCCCCACCCCCCAAGTTTCACAGTTCTGAGACGATGCCGCCGAGGGTGGGGCGCCTCCCACACCTGCTGCCTGCTGTGCTCTGGGGACAGTCCCGGCAAGGATGCAAGGACCCGGCCGGCCGTGTCATGACAGAGGGCTGCTTCCAAACAGGAAAAAGAGTTGCTGGAACTCAGCCCCCTGCCCCCCACTCCTCCCATGCCCGCAGGGCCAAGCACGCATGCATGTACACACACCCACATGCACGGAGTCTCTGTTTCCTTCTGGGGAAGGCAGGAAGCTGGGACTTGGAGAGCTAGCTGACTGTCAGCTGACCGGGGCTGCCCTGGGACGTCCAGGGGATGGGTGGCAGGGTTTGCAGGTTCAGGGCAGGGCTCGGAATCTGAGGAACAGAAC